TAAACTAGGATGTAACTATCCTGAATATTGATTACAAGTTGTTCATCCATCATCAGAGACTAGAGACAATATCACCTGGGTTATTGATCAAACAGAAACAGGACAACGTCAGAAAGGTTTTGCACATAATGAGGCAGATAAACAAAAATTAGAGACCTTAGTGTTAAGTTTAGATGCTGAGAAGGCGTTCGGTTCAGTGAGGTGGTCCTTTTATATCAGGTGCTTGAGAATTTTGGTTTTGATAAATCTGTAATTGATATTATTTCAGGGCTACACAATAAACCAACAGCTAAAATCAAACTCAATGGAGGCCTCACTGAACCATTTATGTTGGAGGGCGGGACTCGACAGGGCTGCAGTATTTCACCGCTGCACCATCAAGTCAGTGGATCAGGCAGAGACGTAACTGGAGGAAGAACAGCAGGAGGGGAACAGAAATTAGCATTATTCGCTGACGACTTACGATTAACAATATCCTCACAGGCCCCCAAACCATGGAAATGCTATCAGAGTTTAAGGTTAATGTAAGAAAACGCAAGTATTAACTTTAAACTATGAACCACCAGTTGTAGTTAAGAATCGCTATAAATGGAAGTGAGATGCAGATAGCATCAGGTACCTACGGGTGGTAACACATCGTTCAATGCCAACTACGCCGCGCTAAACGAATCTCTACAGTCAGACAAAGATGGAGTACCGTTCTGTTTCTGGACCTGCACTCCAGGATCGAATCAGAGTAAATATTCTTCCCCGACGCTGTGTTTGTTTCAGTCTTTACTGATTCCCGTACCACAAACTGTGGTGGATACGATGTTCCCAAAACACATCTGGAACGGTTAAATATAAACGCCCCAACTAAAGAAAGAAAACGGAGGTCGTGGGCTTCCCTGTCTACGAGAATATTACAGCTCAGCTAAGATCACTGATGTCTCTGTTGATTACACCGCCGGATGGAAAGATGTTGAGGGAACAATAGTTGAAGCAAAACCAGCTTTAATATCGGACATAAAGTTACAGAATAAAATACACATGGCAGACGAACCCATACGACAAATAATGACATCTGCTCTGAGAGACGTAATCAGAATTTGCAGTTTGGAAAATGCCTCCAAGGTTTTAAGATGGTGAGCATGTGATTCAGATTTTACCCCGAATCAGTACAGTATTCATAATAATAATATCATTATTATATAATTTAATAATATTTTATATTATAATTATAATATAATAATCAGTAACAGATTCAAGAGGATTTCAACAGGTATAACTAAATATTATTCATCTGCCCACAAGGGGGCGTGAAAAGCTTTGAAAGGAGTGAACATGATTTAGGCTCAGACGACTTCTTTAGATATCTGCAGTCAGAAATTATTTTAATCAAAACTTAAAATCATTTTTATGAACCATGATTTTCTTTACGTTGAATTCCCATTTCAATATTAAGATGCTGACGTACCCACCCGAGGTTTCCC